TCGTGGTTTACCGCTTTCTATTTTTTGTGAACATTTCTTGCATAGCAATTGTATCTGGATGTTTCTGTTCGTTCTGGTTCTCTTGCGCCTGTGATTTGATTTTTGGCGGGTTCAGAATTTTTGTCCATTTTCTGCGTTGGATTCTGCCGCTGGACCGTTTGTTTGGTTGGAGCTTTTGGTTGGACTTCGTGTGTGGTGTATAGACGGGTTCTGTGAGGAGCGGGGTCTTGGACGATGGGGAGGTGAGTGGGGTGTTTGACGGGGTTGGGGGTGTAGGGAAGGAGTGGAGCTGGGGGGTTGGGGGGCGATTGGTTGCTTCATATGGTGAGATCTGGTGACATCCGTAAATTAATGTTTCGATAGGAGTTTGCTCCCCAGTTAACGAGGAACAGCAGCCAAAAAAATATGAACCATATTCCCCAGTTGGGAGGGCTATTACCACTTGCACATATTATACTTATGGCTTCCGAAATTGCCTGCCGGAAAAATTCTGGCAAGGATTTGATGGTGTCCGAGCGAGTCACAATGACTCACTCGTTCACCCAGCTAGATTTCATGCCCACATCGCCTTAAATCTCCCGGAAAATCACCATCGCACAAAAAAAGAAGCGAGAGCCGAACTGCCAAACTAAAAAGTTTCATTGGTACTGCTTGCTGAATGGAAGGAGGTCGGTATATTAATACAGGTATATTATTACATCAAGAGTAGAGATCTATCAACCCGATCCATCCTTCCATTCCTTCATCACTGTAAATGCTGCTTCTACAGCTCCTTCTCCTTCTTTGAAACCCCACTACGGCCCGTCGCCGCATGATATCCTTTCTCAAACACCCATTCAACCGCATGCTCAACTGGGTGATCAAAGATATAAGGAAGCGCGGGGATAATTGCAAGGCCCAGTCCAACAGGACCCCAAGTCCTGATCATAGGATTCATGTGATTTCTCAGGGCACGGCCAGAGTAGCGCACGACCTAACACCACTCTACCATTAATACCAGACTCCGCAAGCAATCAAGACGGGGAAGAGCAAAAGGGGGGGGGATATATATACCGAATGAATAGTAAAAGCCGGCAGAGCCATACTCGCCAGACTCTGGAATACTGCACGCTGAGCCATCACGGTCCTGTAATCCTCTAAAAACGGCACATTGCCCTTCGGGTGCAACTCCACTTTTGCATACCCTGCATCCTCGTCCTGGACAGCCTTCTCCTTATCGCCGCCCTGCCGGTTCTTGATCATGTGTGCTGGTTGCAAGAACACCGGTACGTCCGTCACTTTCAATCCCCCGCGTAGAGTCGCCTGGTTCGCTAGGTAGGCTTTGTACCCCTCGTTCATGACGTCCCCGGTCAAGTACGCCCAAGAGACCCCGTAGGCTGCACGTACTACGTTCTTGTACGTCACGGGACGGAATGACTCGCCAATGTCGGAGGTGTAGGCCACATATCTGTGGGTCGAACGCACGATCGTCCGAATGCGGTTTGCATAGGCAGCCCAGCGGATATTAGTGTCCGTCGTGTCTGGAGCTCTGAAAGGACGGGGTTAGTGTTTTACATTGTGATTTGGAGAGGGAGGGAGGATGGTGGGGAGGAGGGGAATTGATGGGAGGGAGGAAGGAAAAGGACACGTACTCTCCCTCATAGATCTTGGTGATGATTGAGTCATTTGGTCCGGTTTTTGGAGGGTCGGGGTTTGATGGGGCGCGGGCAGACATGATGGATTTTTCTCGTTCTGTAAACTTTGAGTTGAGGTGTTTGTGATGAGTTTGGTTGGTGATTGCGGGATGTTAAATAGTGGGGAGGGGCGGGAAGGAGATCTGGCAGGAGGTGTACTGTACTAAGTAGGATTGAGCTGGGTAGGGTAGGGTTAGTCTACTAGTACCGGTAGTCAAGCATCATATGATAGAGGTCGTAACGTGACGTAAACCCTCCCGGAGGACATTCGGGAGGGTCAACCCTGGAGAATTGTCACGGGTTGCCGGTCTTGGCCTTGATTTTATAATCATAGCAGCATTGCCGTATTAATAATCTTGTCACACAACCACATGACTAATCCATGCCACCAGCCACACAACACAATCAAACCGTCCCTCGGTCTCACTCCTCCCCAATCCGCATTTGCCCATTCTTCCATCTAATATCCATCCCTTGATTGATCCCTCCCACCACTAACACATCGAACGAAGAGTAACCACTCACGCCCTCACAATGGTTGCAATGTACACTATCGCTGGCCGACAAGTCGGTTCCCACGTTGTATGTGTCCATGATCCCCTTCCTCTTGCCGTACTTCCTTTGGCTGATTGACGGTCCCGCAGCTCGCAATGGCAACCCTCGGCACTTTCTTCACGTTATCGGCGTTGGCCATTGGTGGTGGTGGGAAGAAAAAGGAGACTAGCCCTCCTATTCAAGCCAGTAGCAGTGACGAGGAAAAGTTCATCAAGTATGTTCTACCTTTTTGACGAACGGGCGATTATCGGATGAGTGGAATTGCTAACCGATGGATTGTTTTAAATAGGGAATTTCTAGCGAAGGCCGATGCGGAATCGAAAACAAACCGTTGAGCGTGGGACATTGTCGGGAGCGGTGAACAGCTATGAATTGAATTCCCAGAATTGCGTGCATATTGTGTTATGGAAATCGATAGATTCTTGAAACAAAAATTTTACGTGCACCGGCCGCGGATTAATGAGGGATCGGGAAGACGGGTTTCCAAATCATATTCCTTTATATCTAGACAGATATAACACCTATCTATCGAAACTCGGGTCTAAAAGTACACAATAACCACCGCAAATGGCCACAGAAATAAATATCGCGGATAAGCTGATTACAATTCAACCGAGTATCCGCCCTTGTCACCAAACTGAGCCTGTCCCAACTCATAAGCCAACCCCAAAGTCAACTTAGCATGTTGAAGCATGTGATCGAATGAAAGATGTTCGATCTTGTCCTCAGTAGTGTGGATGTGATTATCAGAGTCTAAGATATGTTAGCAAGATGAATTCAACCCCAGCGTGCAAGTGATGACAAACCAGAGAAAGCACTCTCAATAACGAAGGCACTGGGGTACCCGGCCTTGCTAGCGCTAGCGTGATCGGAGCAAGCATATCCGCACTGAGTCAAGACATACGGGATATCGCAATACTCAGTGATAATCTTCTTGATGAACTCGGTCAAGGCAGGGTCGACGTAATCGGTGATGACACCAACGCTCTCAGGCTTCCCAGCGTCGAGAGTCTTCCTGACAAAGCCAGTCATATCCTGCTGCAACATGGCAACAACCTCGCGTCCCTCCTTTTCATAAGAGCTGAAAATGGCCTGGCTTCCCCACAACCCGAGCTCCTCAGCAGAGTACCAGTGAAACTCAACAGTGTTCTCCAACTGTTCGCCAGTCTTAACAAGATGTGTGACCAAAACGCAAAACGCCTCGAGAATAGTAACAGTTCCAGAACCATCATCATCAGCTCCGGGAGCAGCAAGGATGGACGGCAGGAAGAGGTTGATGGAGTCCTGGTGAGCGCCGATGACGACAGTCTTCTCAGTCTTTCCGGGAATCTTAGCGATGATGGAGGACTGAATCCAAGTGTGCGGGAAAGGCTTAAGCTCAATAGAAGGCAGCAGATGAGCAGTCTCATTGATCCTCTTCAACAACCACTCCGACGACTGACGACCAGTGTCCGACTATATTACCGTTAACAACTGTGCACCTTGCGCAAAATAATTTCCGGGAGGGTTACCTTAGCATAGCGGGTGTAGAAAGAAGTAAACGTCTCCAAGTTGCTCTGCATAGTCTTCTTATCAAGCTTCTCCAAGAGCGGCTTGACCGTCTTTTGCTGCCCAGGCTGGGGAGGGTACTCGATAGCTGGTTTCTTTTGTGACGCGGTTCTAAAGGCATTCTCGTATCCAAGATGTTGATAGTCGGTAATGTCCATGAAGTTGAATCCTTGCTACGAGCGTACCGCCACCATTAGCTGTGACAAAGTTGGGAGAAGTCGCCAAACCCTTACCCTCTTAAGCTCAAGCTTCTCATCCTCGGTAACCCACTTGGTCTCGGTAGGGCTAAGATGGATTAACCTTTTTTCCAGAGCTTCCTGTGTGGAAATCTCCCTGGACTTGCCAGTAACAAAGACGCGTTCCTGCTCGGGGGAAGGAATCGTGATAGCACCTGTGAGCCGCGAGACAGACACAAGTGAAAGAAGGGAATACGAAATGAGTGATTTCATGACTGCAGCTTATTCGTAAAGGTGTGAAGAAAGTGTCTTATCTGAAGTTTATAAGGGTGTTATTGTGATGCCCTCAGTGATTAATAGTGTGAGATGGAGAAGAAGGGAAGGGTGGAGTAAGCTACGGGGGTGGGCTTCCCGAGAGGTGGGTGTGAGCACGGCCATCACGCATCCACCACGCATTTGCGGATTTGGCTTGGCACAATGTAATATCAGGTATCATATCTAATTTTATCTTGGCCATCATAGAAAGGTCGGTTCAGCGACAACACCGTCAACCGAACTTCAACTGTGTCTCTTTCTCGCATTAACACAAGTGACAATGTTCGCACCACGGTGAGTTCACTGTTTCCTCAGCTACTCACCTAAATTATACTGACAGCGGAGTAGGGTCTACACCTACCACTGCAAATTTTGCTCAAACCTCTTCCTAGCCTCAACACACGAATTCAAGACACTTCCGAAACGTAAGCCTCCCGGTCGCAATCGGGCAACCATAGTCCCTCTCCCTCCACCACCAAAATCCGAAAAGGAAGAAGATTCTTCCGATGCTGAATCGTCTGAGGGAAGCTCCTCATCTTCGGAGTCCGAATCCGAAGCAGAGGGAGAAGACGTGCCCGGGCCAGAAGCTCCCTCGGAAGGCCCCCCGGAACATAGAGAACTAAACCCCAACGAACCCCCTCCTCCAACTGCCCCCTTCGATCCTGAGAAAACTGCTCTGGTAGAAGACACCGAAGTGACTAAAGATGGCGCCGGTCCACCACCTAAGCCCCCCACTACTCGCCGGCGAAGGGATAAAGACGACGACTACACGCTCCTACTTTCGCTCACTAAAGACCGGTCCGCAAAAATTATCGATCGCGAAGATGGATTCGAAAAGAGGTGGATATGGCGGTGTGGAAGGTGCAGATTGATGGTTGGGTATCAACTTGACGACGCGCACTTCTCACTAACCTCGAATACCTACCCGAATACTATGGTTACGACGGGCGTGATGGGTGGTGACGCTGGGGCGGAGAAGGACTGCGCGGAGAAGGAGAGGAAGCGGGCAGAGAGGAAGAGAAAGAGATATTTATATATACTTCCCGACGCGTGTGTTCCGACGGAGGAGTTGGGGGAGACAGGCGCGAGTGGGCGGTAAATATGTGGACAATAATTGTTTCCGAAAATTGTATAACTAGTTGACCTTGTATATCCGCTGGTCGTGGGGCGCCGGTCCCTCTGGAGCCAGGGTAGAAAATTATGCCACGAAAATTTCCAGCTAGGGTGAAATATCCGCCCTGTAGGAAGTCACTTATACAGTATTTCCTTCAAGTCCTCCTGCTGATGCTGTAGCCAGCGGCTGATGGGAGCTCACGAATAACCACACTTTCAGTTCCCCTACTAGCTCAGTAAACTCATCGTATGGGCCAATATACCAATCTGCCAGACAACGAATTGGAGTGAAGCAAGGGAAACGCAAAAGTCGTGGGTGCAGAGTAGGGTCGTGCTGGATTACGAACTACAGAGTGTGCACCTCGAGTGGCTGGGGGCGGGATGGACTATCAGTAGGCCCCCGGAGAGGTTGTGGGGTGATTCGTAACCTCCATTAGCACGGTTTGCCTGGAGATGTTGAGGGGGGCGCTGGGGTGCAGTCTCCCGGTGCCAGAAAGTTTTATCCTTACTATGCATTGGCATAAGAGATTATGCAATTGCTCTCGCGAGCACTACGAAGGCGAAAGGGAATATCATACTCGTTTCCAAACCCATTCTTACACTGACATTCTGTTTCTCGATTATAGTAGGAAATACCGGTAGGCTGGAGTGGTGCCACAATGCAAATTTCTCTAGGCTTAAGATTAGATTTGCTGCTCGGTATCGACGCTCCCCAGTAATTGATTGGTCGCTTGGAGCGCCGTATTATCTCGGAGTCTCCCAAATGTTTCACAATATTACATAACCGTGCCAAGGTTCCACCCGATTGTGTAACAGCGAGCAGTTGCAAATCTACGATGTGCCTAACGGTTCAACGCCAGTTTCAGCTCGACGTCAGATTTGAAAACACCACGAGCATCAACCCCATACTGAGAACAATACAACGCTACAACATGCCTGAAACCTATAGTGAGATTGAATCTAGGATTGAAGATGCATGTTTGGTACTTCAAATGGCCGAAAAACCAAATGTGGCTAGCGCTGCAAGAGAATTTGACGTACCCGAAGCGAGGCTGTGAGGTCGATGGAAAGGGCACCAACCAAAGTTTTCAAGAGTATCTGCAAATTGGAAACTTACGGAGGGTGAGGATGTAACAATCCCTCTTCGGATGGTTAGTTCTTGGCGACGGGGAACGATACTTCTCTTCTTCTTTCTTCTTCCCACCTTACGATAGCACTAGGCCTCTGCCTGCGTTGCCAATAGTACAAGACTATTGTTTCTATCGGGAACGCCTATTGTAAGCTTTTTCTAACTCTCCCTTTTGAAGAGTATTCTTATTGTAGTAGTAATAAAGATGGTGATAATGATATAGAGTGTAAAGATGTTTTATATTTGTTAAAGTAATAAGTAGGGAAAGTACTTAGAACAAAGTGTTAAGAACCTATCCTTCTTAGCTGTACCGGCCTCCCTATATACTATTCTTCCCACCCCAAGTCATGCCACCCAAAGTGGTCACACATGCGAAACCAAATCATAACAAACTAATCAAATAACCAAAGAGGTAACATGAGCAAAACCCAAAACCTCGTAGCATGGTCATGTCTAATGACTCATAAACCTATCATAACGCAATAAAGAAGTCATCTGACACAAAGTGGTCACATGTGCAAAACCCATGACCTTAAAACAAGGTCATGTGAGAAATATAAATTGTATGCGCAAGGCATACCTGCAAAGCATACTTGCAAGGCACACTTGCCAGGCACACATTCCATGACTCATAATCAAATCATGTGTGAAACATAACAAATCATAATGTAAATAAGTCATATGACCAAAGTGGTCATATGCATAAAACAATAACATACCTATGACTCATAATCATAAGTCATGTGAAAACCTTTTCCATGCCAAGCCACATTCATGATATTAGCCGCTCTCCCATTAAGCCGGAGTCCTATTACGCTTTATCTCTAAGCTTTAATAGTTTCTATCCAGTTACGCATATGGATCTCAAAAGCCTATTGAACTTGTCATCTACTGTCCTCTCCCTTATCCTCACCAATTCAAGTATGAGGTTTTTTATCTTGATTGCGTGCCTCTGATTGTCGTTCAGCTATCTTAGCTCTACCATTGGTCTTTTGTTTACTGAAATTATGGCTTCGGCCTGGCCAAGTTGTTCCTGGAGTTCTCTGATTATGTTAGGTGGAGACAACTTGATAGACTTCAAGATTGTCTAGGCCAATCGAGATTCGTTTCTGTAGATGGAGATTGTCTAGGAAGGCTCAGACTTGGCTCGTTTCGTTTATGACTACTAGGAGCGAAGTAAAGTAAAGTAGGTAGAATCGTAAAAATAATATTATATTGTTAAGGTCTCTTCTCCGTTGCTTGATAATGTCTAAAGCTTGGGAGATACTTCGATATTTATATTCCACGTCTGAGTGTTCGTGGACTACATCTATTTATCACACAACTATGTACTTCTTCAATCGTAATTCGCAACGTCGAGTTTTCTTCCAAGGTGCGAACACCTGTGGACCCTGAAAACCATCACACCCTCTTCGGTAATTACGATATTTCTTCTTAGGAAATGTACTGTCCCCAATAGTAATATCCCGATTAGCAGAGTCTTTAGACTTATAGCCTAGTTCTTAAGTTGAACTGAGTTGGCTCCAATTGTCTTCACTATTGGTAAAATGATCAGTCTTATCCACAGCTATATCTGCAAAGGTGGTCGTCATTACAACTATCGTAGGTCATTTGATTCCAACCCTTTGTAACTCCATACCCAACTGATAGATTTTCTTTGGATGACTTCCTATTCACTCGCAGGAAGCCACTCCACTAGACTGGTAATTAATCTCTCGGTCGGCAACCTTTGGTTGCTTTCTGGGTAGTAGGTTTCAGTAAACATAATAGTATTTGAGAATTCCCCATGACTACAACGTGTTCCGAAACCCAGTTGCAACACTCCGTGAAGTTCGTTGGCTTCTTTGGTAGTGTCATTTGGAGTTCTAGACTCTTCTGGTGTATGCGATTGTATCGGTCTCTAGTAGAGATCCTTTACTATTTGATACTATCTCATTATGCGAAATTGTCCTGTTACCTATGGCCCATGCCAAAGGTCTCATACCTTTGAAACCTAGTAACTCTCTGAGTAGTTGACGGAATTACTCCGTTCCACTTCCCAGGCCTAGCCGAAGGTCTCCTCTCATATATTCCATGAACAGGATCCGGTCGGACAGACGGCGGCGACGTATACGGTGTTATTCTAACACCTTCAGTTCTGTGGTAATGTAGTCACAGGACGCAACTGAAATTGATATATGTGATGACGCACGGGCTCCGTAAGGGAGCTGGAGGGGGGTGTTGGAGACCAGAGATTCCGATTCCAAGTGGGGTTACCCTACTTAGGGTGGTTTCTAGGTATCGGGTTCTGGTATTCCTAATATGAGCTCCCTCCTCTTAAGGCTTCGCCCCGAATGCCTTTTAGTACATAAAAAATAAAAAATAAACATAAACATAATTTAACCATTAACTTCCTTTCGGACCCGATGAGAGTAGGATAAAAAACCTTCCACGTTTGCTTGGCCACGGTAGGAAAACCTTTCTCTTATCGTCCTTCCTTTGCCCGCCTTGGCATTTCCGGATTATCACGGTGAAATTCAATCAACATTTCCCTCACATTATTTATACCAGTGGCAGGTTCCCAGGTGTTCTCATCTTCAGAACATCCTTGCCATTTAACAAAGTACCATAGTTTGCATACCTCTTGATAGCGACCGTGTACTCTCTTTCTGTAAGAGCGTAACTCGCTTCTTACAATTTTCTCTATTTCCCATTGTAAGTCGCCCTCAATATCCTCGGGCTCTCGGGGAGGTTGTTGTCGATTCGCACGCACCGACTCTCTGTAGGGTTCTAATAGAGATACGTGGAATACTGGGTGTATGTTCCATCGGTCTGAGATATTGAGTTTGTAGGCACGGTTTCCTCGTTTCTCCAAGATCACGAATGGTCCATATAATGTAGGACTGAGTTTCTTTGACTTTTGGCATGTACGAATGTTCTTTGCGTTTAATATTACTTTATCGCCAATTTTAAAGTCAGGTTGCTCCTTGGCCTTCCTATGGTAGTATTTGGCCATAGCATCTCGTGTCTGTTGGAGCGACTCTCTTGCTTGCTCGTGAATCGTTTTTATCCCGTTTGCATATAGTGTGGCTCCTGGAATTTTGTGCCTCGCGTTCCTTCATCCATTCGGTTTGTGGATGGAATCCGTTGTTTGCGTAGAAGGGTGTCATCCTGTGTGCACTGGTTACCGAGTTGTTGTAAGCATGTTCAGCTAGAGGTAACAGTTGGTACCAGTCATCCTGATCATAGTTGACAAAACTTCGCAGGTAACCTTCCAGCACTTGGTTGGTTCACTCAGTTTGTCCATCTGTTTGAGGATGGTACGCTGTAGACATCCTCTTTTTTATATTAAGTGTTTTGCATAGGGATTTCCAGAATTCTCCTGCAAACTTTTAATCCATGTCTGAGACAATTTCTGTTGGTAAGCCATGTAGCTTCCATATTTCCTTTGTAAAGGCTGTTGCCACATCTTTTGCTGTGGTTGTTCCTTCCAATCCGACGAAGTGAACAATCTTTGTGAATCTGTCAACAACTACTATGATTTGGGTGCATCCTTGACTTTGGGGTAACTGTGTAATAAAGTCAACTGAAATTGATGTCCATGCTATGTAGGGTATTGACAGTGGTTGTAGTAGACCATACTTCGCGTGTCGTGGGGATTTGTTGTGTTGACAATCATCACACGACTGTACGTAATCGTTTACCCAATCTGCCAGGCCTTTCCAATAAAAATCCCTCATAATTATCTTAAGGGTTTTTTCTTGTCCGAAGTGTCCTGCTATTTTAGCGTCGTGACATCCTTCAGCTATTATCATATAAAGGTCCTGATTTTTTGGTTCGAATAGTCTTTGCTTGTAGTAAAGCAACTCGTCGGATAG